CAAATTTTCTGGGAAAATATCCATGAGGGGAATAGCGGATTGAATGGAACTTCCAATCCTTGTTTTTTGAGAAATCTCCATACTGATTCCTACAGTGGTTGCACCAGTCTAACAGTGGAGAAGTGATCCTTTTTTTCCCACATCCCCACCAACATTTGTTATAGTGGTTTTCTTGATGGCAGCCATTCTTTGCAGGGTGATGAAATCTCAATGCTGTTTTAATTTGCATTTCTTGAATGACCAGTGATGATGAACATTTCTTCATATGTTTATTTGCCATTGTATATCTTCATCTAAGAACTGTGTGTTCATTTCTGATGCCCATTTTTGGAGAGGGTCTTTGAATTTGAGGGGCTTGATCTTTTTCAGTTCTTTATGTGCTAGATATAAGTCCTTTGTCTCAGGGATTGTTGGCTAAAATTCTTTCTCATTCTTTGAGTTTTCTTTTCACTCTGTTGGTGATTTATTTTGAAGTGCAAAAGTTTTTTAGTAATATGAGATTCCCAGTTGTTGATTCTTTGAAGTATTTCCCATGTAGTTTGTGTTTTATTCATGAATTCTTTCCCTATCCCTATGTCACCAAGATTTTTACTTACCTTGTCCTCCCATAGATTTAGTGTTTCTGTTTTAATATTTAGATCCTTGATCCATTTTGACTTTAGTTTAGTGTATGTGGATAGGCATGGGTCTAGTTTCAGTCTTTGGCATGTGGAAAGCCAGTGTTTCCAACATCATTATTAAAGAGACTCTTTTTTCCAGTGAATATGTTTAGCACCTTGTCAAATATCAGGTGGCTGAATGTCTTTGTAGTTGTGTTTGCATCTTCTAATCTGTTCCATTGATCCTCAGGGCTACTTTTTTGCCAGTACCATGCTGGCTTTATTACTTTGTAGTAATAAGGTTTTATGGCTTTGTAGTATAGTTTCAAGTCAGGACTTGAGATGCCTTCTGTCTTGCCTTTGTTGCCCAGAATTGCCTTTGCTATTCTAGGTTTCTTCTGTTTCCAGATGGATTTTAGAAATATTTTCTCTAGATCTGTGAGGTATGTTAATGGTATTTTGATTGGGATTGTATTGAATCTGTATAACAGTTTGGGGAGTATGGCCATTTGCACAATGTTGGTTCTTCCCAACCAAGAGCAAGGAATATCCTTCCATTTTCTAATATCCTCTTCAATCTCCTTTTAAAGAGTAGTATAATTTTCAGCATATAGGTCTTTTACATGCTTGGTTAGGTTGATTCCCTAGGTATTTCATTTTTTTAGATGCTATTGTGAAAGGCAATATTTTCTAATTTCTCTCTTGGTGAGTTTTTGTCTGTGTACAGGAATGCTATTGATTTTTGAGTGCTGACTTTGTATCCAGCTACACTAATGAATTTGTTTATTACCTCTAGTAGTCTTTTAATGGAGTTTTTGGGGTCTTCTATGTGGAGTATCATGTCATCTGCAAATAATGATAATTTAACTTCTTCTTTTCCTATCTTTACCCCTTTTATTTCTCTCTCTTGTCTAATTGCTCTGGCTACTATTTCCAGTACTATATTAAATAGGAACAGTGATAGTGGGCATCCTTGTCTGGTTCCTGATTTTAAAGTGAAATCTTTCAGTTTTTGTCCATTAAGTATAATGTTGGTTGTTGGTTTGTCATAAATGGCCTTTATGAGATTGAGGTACATACTGTGTATTCCGAGTTTCTGTAGGGTTTTTATCATGAAATTGTTTTGGACTTTATTGAATGATTTTTCTGCATCTATTGAGATGATCATGTGATTTTTATTTTTGGATCTGGTGATGTGGCGCATTACATTTATTGATTTGTATATATTGAATCATCCCTGCATCCCTGGACGCACTTGGTCATGGTGTATAATCTTCTTGATGATTTGCTGCATTGCATTGTCCAGTATTTTATTGAGAATCTTTGCATCAACGTTCATTAGTGAGATTGGCCTATAGTTCTTTTTGGTTGGCTCTTTCTCTGGTTTTGGTATCAGAGTAATACTTGCCTCCAAGAATGAGTTAGGGAGGACTGTTTCTCTTTCAATTTTATTGAAGAGTTCAAGGAGTATTGGTGTTAAATCTTTTAAAATTTCTTATAGAATTCATCCATGAATCCATCAAGACCAGGTTTTTCTTGGTTGGTAAGTTTTTAATCGTGTTTCTTATTTCAGTAGCTGATATTGGGTTATTCAAAATTGTTATAGCTTCATGATTGAGCTTTTGTAGTTCATATGTTCCTAGAAACCTGTCCATTTCCTCTGCGTTTTCCACTGTATGTGAGTAGAGATTTTCAAAGTAGATGTTCATGATCCTTTGAATTTCCATAGGATCTGTAGTAATTTCCTTCTTTTCAGGTCTTATTGCATGGATTTGAGTTTTTTCTTTCTTTTTCTTGACTAGTTTGGCCAGGATTTATCAATTTTGTTTATTCTCTCAAAAAATCAGCTTTTGGATTCATTAATTCTTTATTTTTTTTAGTTTCAATTGCATTAATTTCTGCTCTAATCTTTACAATTTCTTCTCTTCTATGAGCTTTGCCTCATGGGTTTGTTTCTTTACTTCATTTTTTTTTTTTTTTTTTTTTTTGGTCTTATTGAGACAGGGTCTCTCCATGCAATTCAGATTGGCCTTGAGCTCACTTTGTAGCTAAGGGTGGGCTTATACTCGCTATGATCCTCCTGCTTCAACATCCTGAGTGCTGGGATTATAGGAGTGAGCCACCACACCCCGCTTCATTTGCTATCTTTTCAGAGATTCCCTGGTGTATGACTTTTAAAGTCCTCTATTTTAATGTTGCTTGTACTTGCTCCCGAATGACTAGATGTTTGAGACTGCATTTTACCTTTTTGTTTTGTCATTTTCACCTTTTGGGTAAATATTTGGTCTTTCAATCCCAACAGCCTCAACTGTCTGTATTGTGAATTTTAGGGTCCTACCATGTGATTGATGTTTGTCCAATTGCTGGGTATGATAATAGGGCGTTTGTCAGTAGTGAATTAGGGGCTCAGATAAATCAGAGGTTTGATTCTTGGAAATAGAAATTTATGCACTTCATGTCAGATACACCCATCTCATTAAATCTGATTGGATATGAAAGGATTTTGCCCTGGGTGGGAAGCTGCAGGAGTGGGAGGCTGGGAGTCGGAACCAAGGGGCTCTATCTTGTACCTTTCCCACCCCTAAGCAATTTACCAGTGGCATGACATAAATTCTAATGGGCTACCTGTACATCAGTAATGCCCCTTAGGCACCACCCCAAACCTAAGCTATACGTATGCCTTCACACCACGTGTTGGGCAGAGAGAACGCCAGACCCTGGAAGTCATGGAGTCTCTCTCCGTATTCTTGAAATAAAGGCCACTTTTATTTCATATTTCTTATCTTTTTAGCTGTGCCAAAAATTCTATCAGGATATATGATTGGTAATTAAGAAGTCTAGCAGCACATTTATAAGAAAATCACTTATTCAAAAGTTGATGTTATTAGGTAGATAGCAAAAATATAACATTATTATTAGGCAACTAGTAATCATTACAGAGACATTGTATTGAACCTGTTAATTTGGTAGAAACTGAGATCAGGGACTCAAACTCACAAGGAATATAGTTGTGAACAAAAGCAGGAACTTGGGAGAGATATTTTTGTTATTTTATTGGAAAATAAAAAAGGGGGTAAAAGGTTCTGGGATATTCAATAATTGAAATCTATAAAACAGAAGAGCTATGATTTTTCACAGAGCACCCTACTGGTGCCATATAGCCAACCAGGAAATGTAACATTCATAACAATAAAGGCTTAGAGATAGCAAGATTCAAAGGGAAAAATGAAAACATTCAGAAGAAAGAAAAGAAATGAGGGTCAGACAGCAACCTGTGAGAAGGCAGTGGGTCCCAACCCAGATAACTGAGCGCCTTTGTTTCTGGTTGCACTTATTATAGAGGCAACAAAGCCCTGTAACTGGAACTTGTGCCAGGCCCTGAGATCCCAGCTCAGGTACTATTTCCTGCCTGTGAATTCCTACATCAGTTTCACTAGGTTTTCTTTTGTCCTATCTGTGTTTTAGATCTAAAATTTGTGGGTTGGTTAAAAGCACCCTTAGATACAAAGTCAAGCCAATAATTAAATGATGGGCTAATGCACTAATATAGTGACCTTAGAGTGGAATATATACCCATATGTGAAAAATGTTTTTATTTACATTCTAAAGTATTTTTATATGTCACACTTAATGTTGAGAAGCAATCTAGTGGATCAAGTGGGGGCTCTATTGTAGCAGTCATTATGAACCTTGTGGTTGGCTGTGTTTATCTTTAAAATTTAGGTATGATGTATGACTGGATACAGTATGAAGGTTGTTTGAAGCAGTTGGATTGTTTGATTTGCTTTCATCTTTACTTTTTCCCAGAAATATATTACCATTTATGTGTAGTTTCTTTATTCACACTGTAGTGGAGTTCTCTTGGTATATGTATATTAATTAGTTGAAAGAAAAGGAGCAGACTGAGAAAGACCCAGTGAAAATCTGGGCAATAAAGCCTCCTGCCTCTTTCCTGACAACAGCTCTTAGCATTCCAATGTGTTTTGGTCTGACCTGGCCAAATAACCTTTTATCTCATCAAGGGATTGGTTCTTCCAGAGGACATTTACCTGGGAACCTTCAGGACCCAACTTCAGGAGAGCACACTGAGCCCTTTAGAAAACCCAGGATAGGTCTAAAAAGCCAGGAATAAAGCCCTTAAATGGAAGTATTAATCATGACAGGCAAAGGTGACATCACAGGACACACACAGACACACAGACACAGACACACACACACACACACACACACACACACACACACACACACGGATCCATCATCAATAAAGGTGGGGCTGGCTGCACACCCAATCAGGAGCCAATCATCAGTAAAGGTGGGGCTGGCTGCACACCCAATCAGAGGCAAACATCAATAAAGGTGGGGCTGGCTGCACAACCAATCAGGTGGGCCAAGGGAGGCGGGCTCTTCCAGGTCCTGCTGTGAAAGTATTCACTGTGAGTTCAGTGCTGAGAACCCTCAGCTGACTACCCCTCTGGAGTCTGTGACTTCTTTCTGTGTGCTGCAAAGGATCTTTGGAAACCCTCAAGCCACAGGATGGTAACTTGATGATACTGGGGCTGGGAATGATATGGAATTGTGGGAGTTCTGGAAGGAAATGAGTAGAACTGATATGGCGGAATGAATCTCTTGACCTACTATCTGTCTGGTACGCATTTGTGTTTTCTAAAATCAAAGAATGAATTTTAGGAACAATGGAGGTTATAGGCAGAAGTATTTATTGAGAGAAACAAAGCCTCTGTCTGAGAGAGACAAAAGGGGTCCCAAGTGGGTTGTCAGGGATTGTCTTTTCTAGGGATTTTTAATGAAATAAAACCATGAGGTGATGTCGGTCTAAGGTGGGGTAAAGTGGGAACTTGCAAAGTAGATGGGAATCAGGTGGGGCAGAGCTGTGGTCAACCTACAAGTTTAATTGTTCAGGTAAAACTGGCCAAATCTGGGACAAATGGGGAAGTCAGTCACTTAGCAAGTGAGCATTCTTATGAATCAATGACTCTTTCTGTAGGGGGTTGGGATGGTGATTCTTGGCTTCTCAAGGTAATCCTAATCCCTAAGGTTTATATTTAAGAGTATGGTTGCATTTGTTTTGCCTTTGGTCTTGAGATCTGGCCCAAAGGAGAAGTGTGTGTCTCTTCAAAGGTCACAAGACATCTGGTCCTCTGTGCTGGCTTCTTCCAGACCTAGCCCTGTCTGACTGCCTATAATATTTTAACTAGCTTAGCTGCCTGTAACAGAACCATTGTAAGCCCAGAATGCCTTCTTGGAAAGCCCCAGGCACAGCTGTGTCTCCACCAGTTTGAGGAATGCAGTAGTTTTGGGGTAAATCTAGGTTCTGTTCTCAAAATGAGAAAAAATTATCGTTTGAATTCCTTATGTGAGACCTTTACTCACAGTGATGTTACTGCATGAACAGAACTTGTAAGCTCACAGTACTGAGTGTCAAATTCTGGAACCAAAATAAGAAATGAGAACAGCTTCTTCACTTCTGGAATCCTTCCCACATGGGTAGTCAGCCCACCGGTTACACTGGGCTCTATGGATTTAAAATATAAAATAGATCCCTATCTAGCTATCTTATCTTTCTTTCTTTTTATTTTCTGTTTTATCTTTTATTTGTTGAATACAAAGTGTATATGGTTGTCTATCCTGGCCTTGAACTCTGGGCCATCCTCCCCCATCAGCTTCCAGTGAGTATGAGAAGATAGTCTTGAGTCATCACACTCAGCAAAAAGAACCACTTTGAGTTGAGGCTCTGTACCCCTTTTCTTCAGCCTGCAAGGTCTAAAGGACACAGGGTTTAGAGGTAAACTGGCTGTTTGTGTAAACATTTTCTGATATCTCAGGAGCTCAGTAATTAGCAGCTGGAAGTCACCATAGTAGACAGGAGTCTGCATTTTACTGGGGGGACAAAATTTACTGCTGGTTCAAAGTCCTAAGTCATTGTCTATCCTCATTTTAACTCTTATCAAAGGCACTAATTTCCTAACTCTACCTCAGGCTGTTTACTTTGCTAGTGCCATCTTTAGAAGCTAAGTAAATTAGCTGCTCTTTACAATTGGATGATGGAAGCATGATTTTTCATAGAATGTACAATGCTGAGCATTATACAGGGGATGGTGATATATTAGCTTGTGAGGGGAAGTGTTCCTGCATAGAACAACTCCCTGAAGGTGATATCTGTTAATCATACATTGAGAAACACAGCAAACTGGGATCTACAGGGATATTTAAATGTGATAAATATGAGAGTGGAAAGAGAAATGGATGTTATCTCTGAAAAATTGCTGTAGTTTTTGGACTGTGCTAGGGAGATTAACCTGAAATTGAAACACTGAGCTGGGTGTGGTAATACACACCTATAATCCCAGCACTCAGGAAGCTGATTCAGGAGAATCCTTGTAAATTTGAGAGAAGCCTAGAGCTCAAGAGCATTCTGAAGCACATTGTGAGACCATGTCTCTAAAGAACAACAAAAAATCCCAAACAAGCAAACAAAAAAACCACTGAGATGGATTTTTACTGAAGTAGGGTTAAGGAGTATTACTCTTTATGAGTAATAAAGAATAAGAACAAAAGTGCTTTTTGAATAAGAAGATCCAAGGTAATTAAAGAGGAAATGGGAGAGCAGGGGCCTTTGGAAGGGAGGCCCAGTCAGCAGCCATAATAGTAAAGGACTTCTGAGGTGAGCTTGACCTAGTGTGACAGCATTGAAGTTCTGCTTGCTAGGTCTGAGAGTAGGAAAAGGGTCACAGGCCTATAGAAAGGAGGGAAATTTAGTCATGGATAAATACTTCTGTGTGTACTGATGAGCTCACTCAATCATTTCTGAGGTAAGACAGGAAATTAGACTAGTATTAACATTGGAGATCACAGCTGAAGTAGAATGGGAAGGAGTTTCTGTTGAACACCAAGATTTTCAAGGCATAAGTGTTGTTTCTTATTGTCCACTGACTGAGCTCAGAAATTTGGTCCTTACCTACATCCTCCAAAATTAGAAATCTGGGCTGGGGATTTAGCTCAACAGCATAAGTGCCTGCCTTGCAAGTGTGTGGCCGTGAGTTCAATCCCCGGTACTGATTAAAAAAAAAAAAAGGCAAAAATTTAGAAATCTTATACTTTTAAATTTTTTTGATGCATTTTGAGATAAGGCCATGCTGATTTGCCCAAGGTGGCAAGCAGTGTTGAGACTTTGCCACCATCTTGACTGTTAAGTTGACAGACATATGCTACCTTGTTTGTTTCAGTGTTGTGTTTCTGCTTTGTGGAGGGCACTGGGTCTCCTTCTGTAGTTCAGTCTGTCTTTAACTCTGAGAGACTCATGCATCATATCCTGTAGTGTTAGGAATTCAGGCATGCAAGGCCATGCCTCAGTCAATGTTTTTTTTTTTTTTTTTTTTTGTCTTTTTGAGACAGGGTTTCTCTATGCAGTTCAGGCTGGCCTTGAGCTCACTTTGTAGCCTAGGCTGGTCTCAACTCACGATGACCCTCCTGCCTCAGCTTCCCAAGTGCTGGTATTACAGGCATGAGCCACCATGCCCAGTTTAATGTTTTTGTTCCTACATCACCAAATTACACCAAGAATTCAGCGTTAGGGTATAGTAAGCAACACTGAGTCACGGTGGTGCACAACTTTAATGTCAGCCTCATGGGATATTTAGGAGTGTTTAAAAACCAAGGCCACCATGGATAACTGAGCAAGAGTTTTTTCAATATGAGATGCACATTGTGGGTTTAGGTCCACTCCAAATTATCTTTTCTAAAGTCCATGAGGCCCTTAGATAATGAAGAGAAATTTTTGCACTTTAAATGTATATCTAATTTTTAAATTTACTCATAGTTTCCACAAGTGGTACATGGCACAATGCAAAGCCTTATGTGTTGATGTAGGGGGTATAGCAGTGAGTCTCTGGTCTTGGAGACAGGACATTAGGGGTGAACAGCTAGTGTACTGCATTCACAGTGTACTGCATTCAGTCATGTACATGCAGTATTTATTGTTGTATTATAAATCTGTTGTATATGATGTACTGATTGAGGCATGTGTGTTCAGCAGGTTCAAAAAATCTAATGATTGGCAATGGTGTTTGCAATATTGGGTTTGTTTTTGTGCATATTTACATTTTGATATTCCCCCACCCCTTATCAACCAGATGGTTTGGAAGACAACCTGAGTTGATAGGAACTAAGGTACATAAAGCAACTAAACACTTTTATTGCTTGCTTGATTATGCAGGCCTGGGGCCAGCAGTCTGAGCATCTCTCTGGAGGATGATAGTATGCAATATAGCAAATATGGAGGATTTCCTTCTGTCTTGTCTTTGAAGTCCAATACTGTTTTCACTGTTTTGTTTCTTCTGATGAGTAGTTTTGCTTTATTCAATGTTCTGTTTTGATTGGTTTTACTGTGTTTTGTTTTGGTTTGATTTTGCTATACCTTTTGGAATGGGCAAATATTGTAAAGATAACAAGATATACTATGGTAGCTATTGTTGTTTTCCCAGTATCCTGCTCTAAAGTTCTTTACCAATTTTGCTGCATTGTCTTGATTGGCTTTGTTCTGTTTTGCTTATTGTATTTTACTATCTTTAAAATAAATTGGAAAGCCTGATTTATCCATAAAAATATATTTTGTTGACAGTTACTTTTAGGTTGATCAAGTCATTTTCATTTTGAAACTCAAATATCACCTCTACGTTTTTCCTTCAAGTCTTTGTATTGTCCCTGTAGAATGTGAGCCTTACCCAGTTGTTTGGAGTGCTGTATTCACCTGTTTCTCCTGAGTGGCTTTGTCAGGAGAGCAGTGTAATCCTATTTGGAAATGTGAAACTACTGTGGGTATTTTGTGTCTTTGTTTCCTTGAATTTTTAAAAACTATTATTGTACTGATGTGGTCCACTCTAGTCATACTATTTGACATGTATCTCCCAGACAAGATGATAAAATGGAAATTTTCAAGGCAGAAACTGACCTGAGTGGTTAGCTTTAGGCTTATAGAATTAGCTATAACAAGTATTTTTGTAATATACATTTTAATGTCATCATAGGCTCGGTAACACTGGTTAATGTTTATAATTTCAATTGAGTGGTGTGATTTGGCCTCAGAAGCATTCAATCTTTGGGCAGTTTCACTTTTTTGAAGGGGTAGGAACTCCTAAGTTACCTAGAATTTATTATAGCGCTGGCTACATGCATAGTTGTGTGTCCATACAGAAAGAGTTTACAAAGACAAAAAGAGGATGGAAATCACTAGAGAGCACCTGGGGCATTCAAATAGAATGGGGAGGAGGCTAGGCACAGGAAAAAATGGACAATTCACGTTGGATATTTCATGATCAATTTTCCTGTTTAAAAATAAGATTTGGGAATATTTGATTTTTTCTTGATATAAATTATTGCTTTAAATCCATGAGTATCATGTAGTACTCTTGAGTATGACAAGCTGCAGAATATTAGAAAGCTTGTGTCTCATGAACAGAATTTCGTGGATTTCTTCTTTCTGAGGAAGTGATTTTGGTGGTTATAGGTTTTTTTTTTTGGTA